GTATATTCTATGGCACAGAGTACGAAAAAAATGTTATGTAAACATAGGTCATATAGAGCTTTATTAAGAAGTTATAACAAAAATTCGTTCAATGAAATGAAAGAGAATAGAGACGAAATTCGCACGGTCATAAGTTCGATCTTCGATCGATGTCAATCATGTATTTGTCAACAACGGTAGACGTTTTGAGATGTATTAATAAACACAGCTTACATAAACACACGGCATGTGCTGATCTATTCAAGCCAATGCTCGCAGTAACAGCAAGTTGATTACTATTTCTATTCTGAACTTTTGTTATAACTTCTTAATAAAGCTCTGTATGACCTATGTTTACATAACATTTTTTTCTTACTTCGTGCCATAGAATATACTGACAAAGTTTGAACATTAAAACCTGGGACACCCTGTATATTATACTAGGTTGCCTTTCGATGGAACATGATTAGGTGTACAGTGACGGACAAAAAAATATTTTAGAAAAATGATATTCGGTAAACAGTAAGCACGTTAAAATAATCAGTAATATACCAAAGAAGCTGGAAGCTGCGACAGATAGTAAGGAAGGACAAACAAAATATTAGGAATAAATAATTAGGAAAACGTCTAATTAAATCATAATTAATAGACTATGGATTTTTACGCGTTTATGGCAAAAATTGGGTAGTTATGATTTAAAGTATTATAAAGATTAATGGAATTTAAGAGTGTCGATCTATTATACGTAATCTATTAGAAGGATTAATGAAAAAATGAACTTGTTATTTAATCTCTATTTCTTGCGATTCGTGCAGACAATTTCTATTTTGCATAAAAATAGTTAAACTTACTTTTGTCCGCCTAGATTTATCACTTGCACATAACGTATGAAAAATTGATCACTGTTATAAAATATACATTCCTTCTTGTAATATTGTATCGCGTTTAACCATACCGTCTGCTACGTAAATATTCTTTCGTCCGCCATTGTATAATTTCTGAATGCAATTACGTTTCATCGAGTATGAAAATAATATTTTAAAAGAACCCGCGCGTTCCTCAGAGAAAGAGAGCTTCCGGTACATCGACGAAAGTTCCTCGAGTTCGCCGAAGTCTGCTCAAATGAGACGGTCGAGGCCCTCGACGGGAAAAACAAGGACTGCCGGAAGATCGTCGTCGAGGTCGAAAAAATGTCTCTTCGAGAGCTCGGAAGAACGGTCTCCCGACAGAAGCGCCATAGTCGCGGTCATCGAGAGTCCGGAGTGGGACGACGAGGACGAAGAGATTGCGAAAGAGCTTCGAGACGTGATAGGGGAGGACGACGAGCACGAGACGGAGCTTGAAGAGGACAACGAGATCGGCGTGGTCAGGGTTCTTCCTAGCACCAGCGAGGAAGAAACGTCTCGCGTGGGCGCTGATGAGAGGGCCGAGGATGCTGACACTTTGCCTCAAGTGAGAATCGATCGAACAGAATTTTGATGCGAAACGATTACCAACGAATTGAAGCGAACAAATTGTCTTTGATGCACGACCAGGTGCAGCCCAGCACTCGGACGCGCGTGACAAGGATACAAAGTCCTGAGGAGAGTAGAACGAGCCGGTTGCAAGGGAAACAGCGTCGTGATAGCGGCGGTAGGGACAGCGGGATAGAACCTAGTCCGAGGGTGTCGAGGATACCGAGGAGAAGAATCATGAAATGTTGTCCGATCAGTGCTAAACAGCAGGCTCTGAACATGGAGACTATTACGAGGGACGTGCAGATCAGTTTAAGACGATATCACCTTGAGAGAAAAATCTTTTTCCAGCTGATGGAGCTGAAGAGGCTGCAGATACGACATGGCAGAGCCAACGAGCATGTCTTGGTCAAGAGACAGGTAAATCATCCTCGGTCTATGCTCTGAAAAGATCGTAATGGATCAAGACAAGGATGTCGTCTGATTTTATTGTGTTTCAGGTTGACGCCTTCCACAAAGCAGGAATGTCTGGACCAACCCTCGGGGTGGCAAAATACGACCAACCCTTAACCTTCAGGTTATTTCAGATATTGTCGTTCACGGTTCACCGAATTACCGGCTAAACAAGATTGTCACTGTTGCCTGCAATTTCAGGCAGACATTCTTCGATATAAAGCTATTTTACATTGTTTGCGTAATTGAAGAAGAGAGTACTGTAATGTCTCTCTAATTCACGATCGGATTATCCACGAAAAGTGGACAATTTGGGATGAGGAGATACGATCGTTCGAGCCTTGCAGCTCGTTTTTATAGTTGTTGATAATTCGTAACAGTAAAACGAGGCGCAAGGCTCAATTTAATCGTATCTCCTCTTCCCAAATTGTCCATTTTTTGTGCACAATCTAAGAGTCAATAAGGGAGACATTGCTGTATAACGGATGTATTTCTTTGTCAGACACTTCGAGAGCTTTTTGTACGACCAACTGAGGAAACTTCAAAGAAGGCCAGCCACCCCAGACTTCTGCACCGAAGCGAAACAGTGTACCCAGAAAACTCATCGCTGTCATCACGCAACAAGCGCTTACACTTCTTTCCCTGTGTACACATATCGTATGTTATCCCAGTATATTTTCGAACAAATGAATTTCAGAATTCCGTATCCAACGATCTCGAATCAATTTCCAAAGATCAGCGCGTGGCTTTGTGCTTGCGTTGTATAGCTGCTTGAAATTCTCGCGAGGAAATGGAACTCTGGAAAAGGGAATTCAATGATGACGATCTTGGAAAGGAGTCAGTTACCCTATTGTGATTGTAGATTATAATTGCAGTAGGTGGAGGCGGCCAAGAACCAGCAGATCTTCTTCCGAAGATAGAAAGTCGTGGAAAGGGCCAAATGACGGTAATTTTCCTTCATGTAACCCTTTGCCCTCGAAGCCACACTTTTAGCTTTAGCTCCAAAATAGTTTCATCGACCTGCAATCTTTTCGTTTTATATACGTATGTCAGTGCATTTTATGCGTATAAGATTGAGACAATTTTGACGTATACCCGTCGAAAACAGCCAATTGGTTAAGAAAGATACATACTTTGATATTGTTCGTTAAATTATATGTTTTATAAAAATGTCGTGTTTAAACCAAATATGAAGAAAAACGAACATCTGTGGTATAATTACATTAATTTATACGCTCTTCGAAGAGACGGCAACAGTATTGTTGACAGTTCTTTTCAAATATTACGTAAACATATTTGAATATACAGGGTGTCCCAAAAATGTCTCTCAATCCGAGTGTAGAGGATTCCTGAGGTCATTTGAAGCAACTTTTTCCTTAGCGAAAATGCAATCCGCGGCTTCGTTTACGAGTTATTAACGAAAAACAGTGACCAATGAGAGGCGAGATCAGCTGGCGCTAGACGGCCCAACCAACGAGCGCACGGAGTCCAGTTCCGCTCATTGGCTCGGTCGCCTCGCGCCAGCTGAGCTGGGATTCGACCGCCTCGACCGCTGGCGCCGTTGGCTCGGCCACCTCGCGGCAGATGATCTCGCCTCTCATTGATCAGTGTTTTTCCTTAATAACTCGTAAACGAAGCTGTGGATTGCATTTTCGCTAAGGAAAAAGTTGCTTCAAACGACCTCAGGAACCTCCCATTTCCGGATTGCGAGACATTTTCGGGACACCCTGTATAAAAATGATTTTGGAACGCGATTGAACAATTTTTAGCGATGTTTACTCGAATATTAATCGAAAATTTATCGAAACAAATGCATATTTAGAAATTACTGGCTCGATACAATTTACCTCTTACAATTTTCGTATTCTCAGAACAATTCGACTTTTCATAGACCGAGGTCGAGGTTCAAAGATTTTTCAAAGATTTCTGTTTTTCGACAGGTGGAAGTGACGCACGGAGAAGAGAAGCAAATAATAGCTCTTCCAGCTGAAAGACTGGACCGCACAAAGAAATATTACGTCACGTTCACCGTCAAAGGGGAAGCACACGAATCGGAGAAGCCTAAACCGGCGGCCGGTATCCAGAGAAATGCCAAAAGCGTTTGAGAAGACATCGACGCCAGTGCCTTCGCGTTTCCAAACAGATTCGCTTAACACGTTGACTGCCATAGTGGTTCCGTTGGCTCCCCGACGGCATTTAACAACCAAATTGCGGATGTTTGTGCGAACATTAATCTCTACGATCCGATTTCGCTGCAATCGAAGAAAAACAAATCCGTCCTCTATCGAGAGCCGCCAAAGATTCGAGCAAAATGAATGCCACGTTGAATTTCGTTAAACCCTACGCAATGCCATGATTTAGACAATCCCGAACGCCATAACTGCATAGAATCCGCAATTTCACAACAGCCGGGCGCTATGAAATTCTTGTATAATTGTTATCCGAAAACGAATGCCGTCGAACCCGATGCAGGAATTGTTCGATTTCACGACGAATTCGTTTTCTGTTCTCGTTAACATGCCTACCGTTCGACGAGTGTTCAATGTTACAGCGAATTAAGGCAAGATTCGCGATGTTCTTTGGGCAGACGTCTTGCTAAAATCGTACAAAACGTGTTTCTATACTTTTCTACATAATTTTTTATTTCTGTTCTCGTCGACGGCTCAATGCCGGCGCAGTTCTAACGCCGAGCCTATCTATCGAGCTCACGAATCGAATACGTAATTCTATGTATGTATTATTATAACCGAAAACAGGAAAACTGCCACAGTGAGAAGTTTATGTATAAATTTAAATTAAGCGCGTCGAATCCGATGCTACGTGAACATTCCGTTGACAATGTAAAAAAAAGAAACTGTTAAATAGCATGAAACGATTGTGTTCCGAGCGATTATTAGTGTAAATAATTCGATGCACGATACTTGCGTACCATTGAATTGTGAAACATTTAACGATAGCATTCTACGAAATTAACGTTGTTCGAGATATATTTCTTACAAAGAGTATATTATATTTTCTAACGCTTTCGCGACCGTTGACGCAAATATCGTGTTGAACGGGATAAGTAACAAAGCGCAAAATTATACTTTGACACGATTATTAGCCTAGATAATAAATAACCTATTATATTTTCTTAAAGCGACAAAGTATTTCGAATTTGTAATATTTTCGGCTTTTTTGACATTAAGATTCAACGACATTGTCGAAAAAAAACAATATGAAACTTGGTCAACGAATTCCAAGCGATTAACAACTTAATTCGAACAAACAGATTTTTCATCTTCGTATGCTCGTTTGAACGATAACGTCGAAGCCTAGTTACCATCGGTCGCGACAGCGTTAAGAAACATTTCGAGTTGTTACATCTCTATCGAAGTTTATCGGATTTTATCGTACCATGTAAAATATGAGACATTTCGTTCTTGCTAAAGCAGGGACCATGCAATAATCAACGCGCACATGTTCTGTATATTTGTGTAAAGGAAATACCGTTACAAGTGACATGTAATTCTGTGTAAAATAAATCATTCTAACTGCTATAGTCCGCATTCGATGAACACGAACACGAACATTCCTGGAAAACAAAAAGGGCTATGCATGTTCGGATCGACCGTTGCTCCGCAAAAATAAGCCGGTCTGCGAACAACTAAACGCAACGTGCCTATTATTTCGTATTCATAACAATTTCGACGAGACGAAGGAACAACAACAAACGGATCGATAACGTTTCCCCTCTCGCTAGATAACACGAACGACTACATATAGATTGCTTTCTTTTCGCTCGAATTAGTTACAAACGAACAATGTTCGTGCGAATATTTGCAGTTCGAAAATGTTCGAACATTCGAATAAAATAAATATGAACGTTCGAATAATATAAAAATGATTCGCGCCGGATATCACTGGGCAAAGAGGTTATAAAAATGGCCGAATAGAATTTCTCTCGTCGTCCAACCCCCGTCGATATCGTAAAAGTAAAAGATGCTTCGATATCCGCTGAACTGTTGCGAACGTATTGACAGGTATAGTTATTCCCGTCTGGCTGAGCTTCTACCAGAGCTATCGATCAGCGCGGTGACGTTGTTAAACAAATGGTTCGGAACGTCTAATCAAACGATTTAGCTGGCGAAACGTGGGTGTTGTTGGTAATGACTACCACGGGCCGGCCTGTCAATAATGCCGTACGGTCAGACGCGATCAGCGAAAGTTAGAGTGAAGTTCTCGACGATGCATCCTGCGTACGTCGTCCATCGAGCGAGATTTTTCTGAGAAACACCTTCGCATGGACAAATGGCTCCAAGATAGAAAGCTCTGGCTCTTCGGTAGCACGCTACCCTTGCTACCAAGGTAAACGGTTACTATTTTACCGATTCGCGCGACCGTGAAACCCCGTGTAAACCAGAATTTTCCGATGTTTACATTAACAACAAATTCGGAACTGTGGAAATATTATTGCAAGATCGTTTTTTAAATGCAACCGACTGTCGCTTCGATTGTAGATCGAAATGTTTACAGCGACATAATCTTTTGTCATTTATTTACACAGTAGAAATTATTTGCACGCGATGTCAAATATATCTTTGAATTGTTTATTGCTTGTAGAGTGAACATTGTATAAAAATCATGCAGTAAACGCCATATTGCGCAAAGTAAAATTCGAAGATCACAAAAATGCGTTACTAATTGAAGATCGAGGATTTTTGGTTTAAAGGTGTAATTTTTGCGACGAAGTCGAAGATTGTGATAGCAATATTGCGACCGTATAAAATATTTTCAAGACTCCGACGTGAAACTAACTTCACAAATGGTATTAAAAGGACAACGTGCGGAATTCAGTTTTATTTAATTGAAAAGAAGTTGTGCAACTAAATATATAGTACAGGAACGTGTGTAGAAACACTGAAATTACACAGAGATTTAATTCTTTTAATAAAAACGTCGCTTTATAAAAAACAAGGAAAGCACCTTATATTTATTGAAATTGTTGCATCGTAATATTGTAACTGTATGCTTACATATTTTGGTAGAAGAATGTCAGCAGACAATTTATCGTATCTTTCTTACATAATATTTAAAATGCTTTCTTTTTTTACTACTATCGAATTATCGATTCGCTTTACTATAATTAATCTATTATTGTTCAGAGAATAGAATCGTAACAATGACAAAAAACGAAGCTAGCATTTGAAACACAATTCTTTATGGAATGCATGACTTTGACATTGAATTGAACTGATCGATTTTTTGCTAGATGGTTTCAGCACGCAAACTGTAACGTATACGGTGTACGTCATCATTTGGTATACATGTATCGAATAAAATTCATGGATTCGTCCGCGAAAAGAAAGTCTTTTCACTGCGCGTTTCAAAAATATAAATTACTGAATTCGCGTGACAATGGTGTTTATAAAAAATGTTGTATATCTAAATATTACATCTCTATTTAAGTTAGATACGAATCTCAGTTATTACAATTATCGATCGAACAGGACGATATTAACATATTAATATACTGCACGTCTAAGTTAATTTAAAAAATTCCTGAAAGACAGTACGATCCAGCAGAAATAAAGAGACCTGTTTGAAAAATATCCAAAGCCTAACTATAGATGTTTAAGCAACAACCACACGGTTGCTTTGGAAATTCGATGTGAAAAACTTACGTTCTCCCTTCAGAATACGTGTCACTTCGTATCGATCGATTTTTCTGATGTAGCAGTCGAGATAGGGTGACCAAAGAATAAATTATTTACATGTTACTTGCATATTTTACATCGAACATCCACTTCGTTCTCGGAAGAGGTCCAACAATGTAGACATTTTCCATGAACGTCGCGACACACTTCGCTTTAACAAGCACCTTAAAAATGCAATATTGTTTTACCCTCGAAATACAGTAAATTCTCCCTAATTGACGCTCAGCTTGGAAACGAAAATGGACAATTTGGGAAGATCAGGTACGATTATTCCAGACAATCGGTAACTATAAAAACGAGCCGCAAGGCCCGAATAATCGTGTCTCCTCTTCCCAAATTGTCCATTTTTGTGCGCAATCTGAGCGCCAATTAGGGAGAATGTACTGTAATTCCTTGCAAGCTATGATTCTCGTGTCAGCTGCTAAGATTGAGCACCAGAACAATTCGAAGAGAGTTCGCTAAACTTTGCCGGAAGTTCTATAAGTCCTGTCGCCTCCGCCGTCACGTGGCTATGACGCCAAAATAGGTATTATAATGTTGTTCACGGCCATCGTTCAAACGTAGACAGTGTTGTAGCGTGATATCGATTGTCAATAATCAAGAGGACATTTGCAAAGTGGTGTTCCAGGTTTAGTAACGTTCGGTATGTTCAACGACAAGGATCCGTTGTCTACCAAAATCCATGAACACCATCATCCGATTCTTGTACGTATACATTCTTGCGGACAACAAATGTGTACAGAAAACGTAGCAGTATTCATTCGTCAAACCTGTCTTTAGTGCTACATTTCGCGAGTCAAACAATATCTTTCTTCCTTTAATAATTTCAACAAATTGAAACTATAATAGACGTTCTTAAATTGTTATAATCTGTCCACTGTTTGAAATTGCACCTACTCATTTTTATGAATAAAAATACATTTTTTCTTTTAATATTTCTGATAAATTGTTGTTTTGTCATCACAATTAAAAATTTCAGGCTATTCATTTTTGTCACGAATGCATAAGATCCGCAGTCTAATGCGTAAAATTTTCAATCTGATCACGACGATCTATTAATTGCAACGATTTCTAAAACATAACAAAAATCCTGCCATGGAAATGTATAAATTCCAAATATTATGCTGTGCATTATACTGTTGACTAACGGCATGCACAAAAATTTATCTAATTTGCTCGAAGAACTGTTAGAGGCTAGGAAAAAAGAAAATTGGAGAACCTCCCTTAATAACATCCACTAAGAACCTCCATTGTGGATTTCTAATTGTTTCTCAATTTCAATAGAAAATTATGTAACGCGTGCATCGAAGTTCCGGCAACATGGAAAAAGGTCAAGACAATAAGGAACACTCTTGGGTCCTAATTCCAAGGTATCTCGAGCGCTAAATCAATTCCATTACTTTTCACTCGCCTATAGCACGCGAATCCCCTAATGCCAATAACAGCAGTGGGATTCGCTTTATTATTTTTCAAGTAGCCTACGACATGACGTCCGTGACAAAAATGCCACCTTGTCGATCACGCTAGTATGTCGGAGCGAAAGAATTATTTTATGATCTAATTTCTGAACACGGTGTCCTCCAATGAAACAACAAAATAATTCCAAATTTGAATTTTTACAAAATGTAATTCAATATTATATTATATACGATTAGTGAATACAATTGTTGAATTAAAATATAATTGAATTATATTAAATTATAATTATAATATAATTAATATCATAGTGTAATTATCATTTAGTACAATTAAATTATATTTTAACACGTTAATGGCCGCACGTGTACGCAGCCAAACATCGCCAAGGGCCGGCGATATTTTTGAACAATTAATTCGAAAAAATTCTATGTAAATTCATGAAATAATTCAACATGTGCGAACAAAAACATACAACAACAACAACACTAACAAAACATTTAATGCAACAAATTTAATATTTTTCCTTGTGATATTTATTAAAGCGCGACATACATGTTTTGTGAGCGGCCGTTAAAATGTTAATTGAATAATTGCATTTACTATTCGAATCTCGAGTTAATTGGTCAGTGAAATTAGCCGACAGTATAGTGCAACGTAATCACGGAGATCGATGAAACGTTGTAAATCGACATCATTAACCTTCACATAGCGATGATGCATTTTTCACCGATTTAAACGTTCAACTTGTCGCGTTATTTTAAATTCGTTAGCGGAGTTATGTCGGTGTCCTAATTAAATCCCATATGAAAATTTCAAAAGCGTCGAGTATGGTGGATTATCACTTATGCTTGGTTCGACATGGTCAACGACTTAAAATTCGCAAATTATGGCCAGCGCGTGGCACTTTGGTAAGCTAAATCAATAAATTGTCGGTGCTTACGCGCATCCAAACTTCTTACAAACATAATACACTAATGTAGCATAAGAGAGTAATTTATTCATACCGTTTAGAACTTTGCGAGGTTAAACGCGTCGCCACATTCTCTTTCTCCCTCTCCCCTAAACTCTTGTTTCATCTGCTTTGCATTCTTGCGCACCGAAAACCTAATCATTTTCACAATTTGCTAATATTATTAATCGTGTTCTCGCATTTGTAAAGTAAACTATAAAGTTCTGTATTCCATTTAAATAAAGCGCAAATCGCGAAGAAATATATTTTGTGTGCTATATTTACGGATTTCGATTTTCGTGAAACAAGTCGAAAGTATTGAAAATGGATTCTTCGTAGAATGTTTCTGCATCTATAATTGACGAAACAAGCTCAAAGTAAATTTTCCGTTCTATATCTTTGCGTTTGTAATTACAGAAACGCGTGTTTAAGTTGCTGTAAATTATTTGCTGTCCAACAACATTACCATTTTCTTCTTGATTTGTGCTGCTTGGCGTAACGTGCTCGACAAAATTCTTTCAACTGTACTTAACTTCTATTTGCTGTGGCTTATACGTATTACCTTCCCCTATTTTTCTTATAAATGTATCATAAATTGAACGAGCAAAAAGATGGAAAAAGTTGCCCTAAACCTGGCACCGAGTAATAAGGTGATCGAGTGAGGAAGCAAAGACCGTAAAACAAAGCAAGTAACAAGCTCTCTCTTATATATATTTGGTTTATTTCTTCACTACCAGAATTGCATAATAAACTTTTGAAATATCGTTCGCCTAATTATGCCACGATGTGTGTCGTTTCTCTCGTATAAACACGCTCGCAGCATGCAAGCAGATAAAAATGTGTGTCGCGCACCGCCGAGGCTGGTGCAGCAACAAAAGTTTGGGTTGCAAGACGCGATTTATCTCGATCGAGCCGAACCTTCTTGCAATTGATATCGATCGCCAAGTAGGACAACTCTCGTAAATAAATCTGTGCGATTCTCGTTCGCAATTGTGCCGGGAAAAATCGTTAGCTTTAATATTGGGTGGGCAGCATGAAGTTTTTCTATCAGCCGGCCAGTGTTGCGATCTGAGATGCGCGTGCGCCGGATCCGATTCAAATAAACCGAAAGCCACGGGGGAGCTTGACCCTTGGTCATCGTCGAGGGTGCAAACAGTTTGGTCTGCAGCCTTTACCGTGATAGCATGCTCTTTACGCAGCAGTTCACCTCTTTGCCATGCCTCGCCAAGTATAAAAAGTGGGTACAATGCCCAAATTCGATCTTGACCGTCGGCGAAATTTCGATCGAAGATTGTGGCAACAGTCCTGAATCCGACCAACTCGGTGATCACGAAATGTCGTTCTTGCGTAGCCAAAGCTTCGCACCGTTTGCAATCTGGTTTCGTGGGAGAATGTCGTCAACTTCCGACGGTGTAACAGTCGTTCGTCTAATCAGAAAATTCGCGAACCTAACTAAAATCTGTGAACATAATCTGCGTCGACATTTACATGGCGAACAGAGAATCTTCTCAGATTCAAATGCCAAGTTCTCTTGTAAAGGGTAGTTCCTATAAAAACATTTCTTTCTTGAACGGTGTATGTGTCCATTTTGACACCCGATTTGCAAAAATTATTGCCCAACAATTTATTTGCTATATATTTATTAATATTGCTATAATATATTAATATTGCTAATATTGCTATAATTTGCTGTATATTTAATATTATATTTTATTCACTATTGCGGATCTTTCTGTGAAATAAAAAATGTCCGCGTCGGTTAACAGCACAAACGAGCCAAGTATAATTTTCCTTCTTTTTTTTAATAATGTCAATAAATTGAAACTTCTTAGCTTCTCTCGATTTCATCACATTTTTGCCGTAAACGCACAAAAGTGCTACTGTAGAACTTTATGAAAATATTAATTTTCGTGAGCGGAGAAATCGAAGCAACATTTCTCTTTATCATATTAGGAATTTTATCGGTATAAACATGCAAATTTTGTTACGCTTCTTTAAATATTCTACTTTCATCGAGTTCCGGTAGGTTAACAGTGCCGTAAATCCGCGATCTAAGTATCTCGATCACTTGAGCTGCTCTAAACCTGATAAGATAATTCGTATGAAAACAGTGTACCTTAGAATGTACAGGGTGTCGAAGGAAATAAGTTGAACACGTAATATCTGTTGGTGGCTCATTTCGTTTTCGAGAAAGTTCAGTTTGAATTTCAGCTGGACACGCACGTCGCGGGATAAAAGTTGGTCAACTTTACCGGATCATTACTTGCCGTTTCCGCTTACTGGGCACGTGTATCAAACGCGGTTCTACCACTGATTTCAACTCCTCCATTTACAAATATTTACGTGTTTCTTCATTGAAAGTCATCGCTTTTTTTTTAATGAGACGTATCTGTATCTGAAGTAGGAGATTCAAGTGGATCGTGATAACACCGTGATCGTGATTACTAGAAATGTTTCTCTGCAGTTGAAATACGACTAACGCGATTCGTATTTCTTTATTTTAGTAAAATTTATCTTATTATTTTGATCAATGCTCTGGAAAGACCCCACGTTAGCTATACGCTATGATTTCTCATCGGCAGCCAAATAAATGCTGATTCGCTTCATAATTTTGTGATGTTCAATTACCCAAGGTTATCGGTAATTGACTATAATACAATAAGACAATAATTTTGCATGTCGAAAAATAATTTAGAAATACTTGACAACTTTTCAAAGCCAGACCATAACTATTGTTAGTAATTTCTGTTAATTATTTACAAGTCCAATGGCAGATAATGTTTCTAAGTTTTCCTTTCGCGATAGGCAAAGCTGCTTAAAAAATGGATACGTGGAAGAAGTTTACTTCATATTTCCTAGCTATCGTTACGTAATCGTCTTCGAAGCATTTTTTTGATATTGAATATATGTAGAGTTTGTTCTACACACAGTCTTAACGAATAATCTCGTTACTGTCTATCTATCAAGTCGGTGACATAACGATCGTGACAGATCAATCGAGATTATCATTGCGCTTCAATAGGAACACACGTGCATTCGCATGTTGCGATGCATTGGCGATAATGTCCTTGTTTGACTCATAACTGTGTCAAATATTTCATGCCGATATAGAACCGACCGACTATGTTGTTAAAATTATCTACGAATATCTTCCTTCGCCATTTTTTAAACGGCAATTCCGTTCGCGCGTCGTATATAAACTTTGAAATACTGATAAATCTATTAAATAAATCTATTAAATCCGCCGTTCTTAGATAAAATTGTTTAGTGTCGCGAATCATTTTTATTTCATGACAATAATTTCAAATAAATCAAATGGTGATAAACTAAATGATAATAAATCGGATAACCAAATGATAAATCGGGTAATAAATCAAATGATTTAATGTCATACTGTTATCAAAATCTGAAGGTATATTAATCACTGATAAAATTGATGTCCCGCCGAATTTTATGTATTCGGACACAGTGGGAAATTCGTAGATAATAAGCATGCTTGTCGCCGTTCTTCTAATACTCATGGGAAATTTCGCTTTTTTTTGCAGGTCACGCGCGCCGAGCAAGGCGATGGAGCGATACGAACGGCTGGCGCGACTTGGCGAGGGTAGCTATGGTGTCGTCTTCCAGTGCAGAGATCGGCAAACTGGAAAATTAGTGGCTGTAAAAAAGTTCCAACAGACCGAGGATGATCCCCTTATACGAAAGATCGCGCTGCGCGAAATACGGCTACTTAAGGTCAGCTCCTAAAATCGAATCGTCACCGGTAATAACCAAAATCATTCTTTGCAATTTCTGCGATCGTAGTTTGCACGGTAAAAATACTGAAAACTTACTTAAAAAATATAAGAATATTTATCAAAAATACGAAAAATACTTATACCTCGAACTAATAAAAGTTAAAAGGACAAATTTCCTTTTGTTATATTTTTAGGACATTATTTCGAAGAATTTTGCTCGAAGCATAAAGATTTCTTAAAATAAAATCTTTCATTGCATATTATTCCAAGAACTATCTTCATAATGAGAAAGAGAGAGAGAGAGTTTTGCTTAATGTAAAGGCTTTTAAAAAAGATCATTTTGTTGCATATTATAAAATCAAAATAACGAAATAATTCACTATCTTAAATTGCTATTATTTAAAACAACAGTCCGAAATTAATTATTTCAAACAGTCATTTGTTATTTTAATTTCAAATAAAATTGTCCAAGGTTCAACCCTTGTTTGCATGCCTCGAATGCAAGGATCTAGAAATCTGTAGCAATCCGGCTGTTCGTTATCAAGAAAATTCGACAAAATTCAGAAACGCACCAGAAATAGCTGCCTGATAGCTGACAAAATGGTCGAGTTAATCCCTTATATCCAGAAATGTTAGCATTTCGACGAAATCTTGCCCACGGGTTTAAATCGAAATCCGGCGGACCGCGTGCTGTAGTGGTTTATCAGAAAATCTATGGAGGAAGTTTTCTACCTCTAGTTCCTACATCGGCCGATGCCTAGGCTCCCTGCGTCCACACCAAGGGTGAACGACCCCTCGGAAATTGAAAGTACGGAACCCCTGGCCGGCTGTCCTCCGATTAAGGAAATCGCGACGAAGATCGTCGATCAACGGGCCGGTTCGATCGATCGGCGACTATCGATCGATCCCGGAATTTTTCTGGGCAAACAAGTAAAAATCGCGAGGGAGTCTTCGTAATCTTACACGGCCATGTAACCGCATAAATCGACGGCTTGCTACAAGAAGTGGCCAACGGTCAATACCGCGGCGGTCAATATCTTAGCGTGTTCTCCTCTCGCCGACCTAGCCTTATCGAAATAATCGGAGGGCTCCCTACGAAACATATGCGCATTCAAACGAGCCTCCGCTCCGCTCTGACATTTCGCCTCAAGGATATTTTCCCTCCGTGCGCAAAATAAATCCGGGCCGCGATGTTAATGATTTCCATCCGGCCGCCGCTTTCGACTGTAAACTGGTAACACGTGGCCGCAATCGCCGCGAACTTTCCGCGGACTTTTTCTTGCGGGTCACGGAATTTTTACGCTTCCCCGAAGTCGCTCGTTTCCTCGGTGAAGTTCTCACGATTTGTTTCGGCTCTTGAATCGTTTCGAATCTGCACGGTGTTCGGGAACTTCTAATGTTCGCATTTTAAAATGCTTTTTTCTGGAAGATCTAGCAGATTTTTGGAAAAACTTTCATTTTCAACCGGCCCGCGAACTGGTCATTTCGATGTACGCATTTCAGCAGGTAAGATTGCAATTCGAAGCAAACGTCTGACTTTTAGGAAGGATTAATAGTAATCATTTTCGCTCATTTATACGGGTGAAAAATCTTTTGTTGCAAGAAGAAATAAGCAAATAAAAGAATAATGTATAGCCGTCACACGCGAGTACTATAACAATAAAAATATATACACAATGAAAATCTATTAATAAGTTCTATCTAAAAGAAACTTAAACATTTTTCTTTTTTCGAATATAATTATTACGAAGAAATTATTTGTTTACTAAAGGTTACTTGATAAATCTTCTGTTTTAATTGACGATCTTTAGTAAAATTTTCTACGTGCTGATTTTGCTACTGTAAATTTGTAGAACTTGTTTGAAACATTTAACATCCGTCGCCTTAGACAAGATTCCTAAAAGCACTTTGATCAATTTTTACGGTATTTTACAACTTACATTTATCGTTAACTCTCGGTTCATGTTTTAACATCTTACTTCGCTTTTCTTTACGGAGAATAAAAGCATGTGGTAACACACACATAGCGAATTTTATAAAAATTGCAAGATTCCGGAGATTGGTTCTGGTGACGTAGCGTTGTTAGGGTATGATTGAACAACGCATTAAGGTTGCAATTTTTCTCCCGGACATTTCTTGGCAAAGTGGATTACTTAGATCCATCTGTCCTGTTATTTAGGCTCCGATAGCAATCCGCGGAGTACATAAATGATTAGGCTATACCTCCAATTAGGAAAGAACTAGGGCGATACGGCTGTTAAGGTTGGACGAGCAGAATACTATTTTATAACCTGGTTCATTCGTTTATGCAGAGATCTACTTGATTCTCGTCGTTGCAAGCAAATTTTTCCTCGGCTATTTGTAAGCTCAGTGAATTATTTGTAAATGGCGGTGTCTTATTCAACACTCTTATTCTGACACTCGTAAGAAATACATGTCGGGTAATTAACACAGGACATGGACATTGAAGCGTAAATGATGAAATTATGGTTTCATATTTTTCAACAACTTGTATTAATATATTGCGAAGTTTACATAAGTAGATGGTAAATGTTGCACCGGACGGACCGTCGGCCATTTTGTACGTCCGGGTCCATAAAAATTGATCTTCTTCAGGACCTCAAGTATTATTATTATTCTTCAGGACCTGCTAGTATTATAACATTCAATGTTCCTTCTTCAAAAGTATGTCCTTCTGATCACTTTTTTAAATTATATGTATATTATAAGTTCATAACCATTCAACATCTTCGCGATACGACCAACGTATATATTAATAACTTCTGCAATTTTTAACAAAATGTCCTGTAAAAATCTGTACTGATACTTTAGCCATGTGTAAACACACGTGCAAAATTTCCGATTACTAGATTCGCTAGTTCCCTTCAAATTAATTCCCAAATAGAGCACACCTTCGTACAATTACTGATTCAGTCTCGCGATAAAGATTTCCAACAGCACCTCACTCGAACACGGATATCATTCGGTGCTTAACCGATGCTTAAACACTGAAATATAAATTCTCTTCTTCTCTTCTTCTACTGAAAGACGATTAAGATGAAAGAAGTTCGAATGTCTGTAAAGGAAACTAATGCGCCAAGGGATTATTTCGAAGAGCTTGATTTTCTAGATGCTCGGTAACGTTGCGATCGTGTTCACATTGCAGAATCTGAAACACCCTAATCTGGTCAACCTACTGGAGGTATTCAGGAGGAAACGGAAGCTGCACCTAGTCTTCGAGTACTGCGAGTACACCTTGCTGAACGAAATGGAGAGGTACCCGTGCGGTTGTCCAGAGATAACCACGAAGCAGCTCACGTGGCAAATTCTGCAAGGCATCGCGTATTGCCATCGGCTGGGTTGCGTCCACAGGGACGTCAAACCCGAGAACATTTTGATCACGGCGGACGGCGTGGTGAAACTGTGCGACTTCGGTTTCGCGCGAATGCTCAGCCCCGGTGAAAATTATACAGAGTACGTCGCAACTAGATGGTACAGAGCACCCGAATTGCTGGTAATTTTATGGATAATTAAGAACGAGTTTCGTTTTCTTACCTAGCTTCGTTTACTTCGAAATGAATCTTTCGTCGCGATAGAAGGACATAAGAACGTAAAACATACATAAGATATAAAATGATCGACTAAATGCAAAAGCTACAAATGGAGTTTATGACACAAGAAATTTAGACGTAAGAACAGAGATCGTATGAATCACTAGGGTAGCGGAGCCGGTTACTGTGGGGTGACCGATTGCTTTATATTTATCGAATAAGACGTATTACATTCTTTCATCCTTTTCTTTTGTTTACTTTGTAATAAAAAGAAAGATGTAACACGTCTTATTCGACAAATATATAAATATAAAGTTGCTTATGTCCGTAAACAAAGGCACAGCAGTTGGTCATCCCAGAGTAACCGGCTCCACTATCCTAAATATAAATATAGGGAAACTTCAAATAAAATGTTGCCATAAGAACCGAGATGTAGAATAAATAACTAAATGTAGGTCGAGAAGCTTCAAATAGAAATTGATGCAGCATTCTCAATGATAATGCTAAAAGATCTCCTTTCAAGAGAAAAAATGATCAGATTACGTTACCGAGGGTGACTTCGTTCAAGTTTGAAATTGTTGCTGCTACTAGACCAATTGATCAAGAAATAGTCATCGATAGATAAAGTGGACATGGAAAGTAAATAGATGATGGGAATAAATATACATAGAAAATTCTGTTCTTTCAGGTGGGAGACACCCAATACAGCACACCTGTAGACGTGTGGGCGATCGGCTGTGTTTTCGCGGAATTAATTCGCGGCGAAGCATTGTGGCCGGGTAAATCGGACGTGGATCAGCTGTATCTAATTCGACGAACCATCGGCGACTTATTGCCAAGGCATGTGGCAATTTTCCAACAGAACGAGTTCTTCGCTGGCGTTACCTTACCGACACCTCAAACACTTCTCCCCTTAGACGAAGCGCTACCGAATAGAGGAAACATTATCTTACAGGTACGCGTTTGTTGCAATGTTCCTTCGGAATATAATTGTTTATTCGGACCTCGTATCTTTCAGCTCGACTTTCTTAAGAAATGTTTGAACAAAGATCCGGAACAAAGGTGGACCTGCGAACAACTCCTACAGCACACCTATTTCGAAAACTTTCATTTCAAAATGCCTGAAGCTGAAATGGAGGAGTTTGAGAAACTGAAAAAATACAGAGACCGATCGAGGGTAAGTGCATCTTCGTGATTTTAAATGATCGATTGAAATAGTGATAAGCAGATTTCTAACATTCCAGTATTTACAAAACTTAGTACAATTTGAAAAAAATTTAGTAAAATTATTGTCTAATTTTGACCCGAATAGAACATTTGATCGATCGGATCTCATTGTCCATAAATTGGTACACGAAGGTTCATAGTTGCCAGTCTATCTAACAATTTCAAAATCCTGTGTATAGCGAATGTGTACTGTAGTCTGTTATTTTAATAATGATATTGCGTTTTAGAATAGCAATTGCAGCCAAATATTGCCCCAACTTCCCAAGGCTGGTACCTCGATACATAGTCAAAACGAAAGTCGACCGAAAAGCTCCTCTATGCATCAACGGCAGGATTTCGATCACCTGCCTACTATTAAAGGTTGTAATTAAGGTCTTCTGTGATTATAAAGTACTTGTACAGGATGCCTGCAGAACTGACTACATTTGTTTTTGGAATCTAATGATGAACACAGTTCTGATGAGAAAAGAAAAATTGTGAACAATGTCTTATGAGAGATATTATCGAAAGGTTTTGCGTACCATAAATTTTTCTATTTTATTTCCATTTCTACCGAGTTGTAGGCTTCGCTGGCATAAGACAGCTAAACTACATTTCATGTTCAATTACATAATACAAGAGTTCATTGCACACATGCTTCACAACACAAAACCTAATTGTAGAGATATTCGAAAAAAGTCTTGATACTTTTGATTTAATAGTAACGGAAATTTGCCTATAAGTTCTTATGCTGCTTATTATAACTTTCAAATTAGAACTATGGTACACAAAAAGTATCTTCACGATCGTTACTAAGAAGAAATATATCTCTATCTGGGTAGATATGCAAATGTCTGATTGTTAGGTCAGTTTTGATCTGTTAGATTCTAAACCAAGGTATTTTAGTTTTGGGAACATCCTGTATGCTATATATACATATACATATATATTTATTTATTCAAACTTTATAAATATTCATTATGAAATAATTATTATTATGATCTTTTATTTGTATTTGCACATTTGTCTTTGAAACACTAATGATTTTGTTGTATTAACATGATTTCCATGTTGTATACATATTTATTATTGTATGTACATTGTATGTACGTTTAGAATAAATTTTTGTACAAAATATTATGTGTTGCATTCTTTCTATTCCTAAAGAGGTATAATAAGTTATCTGTTCCCCTTGGATAAGGTAAATAATTATGTAAGATTAGAAACACAACCAATATAATAAATATTTAAATGTATTGCTGTTTTCTCATAGTTGTTTCGATTCATAATGTAGAAAATTTAGAAACATATATAAGAGGCGTTGAACTATTCATATTTACATTTCCACAGATGAAGATTTGCATTGTACACACAGTACATATTCATTGTACATAATGTAATTTTCTATGTAGGATACTAATATTCGAATGTCACTGAAACTTCATTCTTCTTTTGACTTTACATTATGTTGGAACCATCTCACAATAGGATGTTCATGTCTGATATCGGGTGGTACCTGCGTTTGCTGCAAACGATACCATCCAACATGAAGTGCAGTAAATGTAATTAGAAATGCAGCGATCTGAGTCTTAGTACCCATTATTATGTCAGTTTTTTATCTCTTAAACGCACTTAAAATAAGAATGTCCAGTGTCTCCTTCATCAAACTATTCTTAAGTTAAAAACGAGTTTCTATAGCAAAAACATTATAAAACGTAACTTTTCTCGTATTTTATAATGTGCAATATTAAATTGATGTACTCAATATAATTTACCGTTGAGACGTACTTTATTGTCAATTCAAAATTACTTCCAAAGAAACACGGCACCGGCTAACGTGGTTATAAAATCTCTTACAGGTTATGTACGCTGTTCATTAATCACTTTCATCGTGATACCTATAGATAAGCAACTCATGCAATAAAAAACTTAAGGATCCCTTTAACGGGAACTGAAGAAGAAAGTTTGAATTTTATTCAGATTCATTATAGCTATATTGTAGACGAATTTTGTTTTTGAGCATAGTAATATACAACAGAGGTATATATAAGAATGTACACCTTATCTGCACAATCAGTAAAGTACAAGCTTAGACTATGGACGGTAGCTATTGGCTCGTCGAGTGCATTGTTGAGAGCTTATCATAAAACCGATCGCTACAGACTGCTTCGAATCATTCTTCGTGCTCCGTCGGGGAAACACCATTCATATCATCCGGTTAAAAAATTTATTTCGAATCAATCGAGTACATATACGGGGTAAGCAAAACTCTACCATTTCAATTTATTTCTAAACTATATATTTTATGAAAAAAATGAAAAAGCCGAACAAGTCGATTGTTTTGCCAAAATAATATAAATCATTGCTAAAAAAAAAGACAGGTAAGTATTTCTACGGAACCGAACATATGTTTATGAACTCTAATATCGAAAATATTCTGATTTTATATTGCAATTTTAATTTTCTTTTTTCGCACATTTAATAATTCTCACCTGTACTTAATTAATCTTTTAATATTTCGATTTTCCTTTTGATCGTGATGCAATGTTTTTAATTTATAATAACTGACAGTATTATTTTAAAGAATTTTAAACGCTGGAAAAAATCTGGAATGGAATCAGAAATTATAAAATCACAGTGATAAAAGTTTACATAATTTTTAATTTACGTCCGTAACACGAGCGTATAACTGATCAAAGAGACTGACATACTTTCAAGTGTTTTTCCAGCGTTACGGCATATACTAACGATGCAATCCGTCATATTTTCAAGCATCGCGATAAACTTCTTTTTTTTGCAAATTTGTAGTGGTCGTAATTACAATAATGACAAGTTTTTATAATTATTGATTTTAAACTCCACAGGACTGCATAGTCTTATTACGTTGTTTTCGTACAAAAACTCAAAGTCACTTTCATATCCCGACAAAAAAACGGAATATTGAAAAATTAATTATTGCGCTATGCACTCCACTTTGTACTAAATACCCAGTAAGCAATATGTCCTGAATTTGATATAAATCTGACCGTACACCGTTATAACACTGTGTCGAATACCGAGGTATCCGTTACCGCATTTCACACAGTATTTGGCATCAACGTGTTCATGTCAAACACGAGCCAAAAACAAGCCAAAACTTGTAGCGCTGCCACATTTGTCACACGAGTGTGACCAACATGTCCTCTCCAAACGATATTCCGCACAAATTTGCCATTCATTTGGCAACTCAATGTGTCTAGCGCCAAATATCAAGCAGAGTCTCCTTTCAGCAGAGCCTTGACACCAAATTCACATAAATTTTCTCGCAAAGTGCACTACCAAGCGTTTCACATGTATTTGACTCAAGCAGATTTGGCTAACTGGACAACTTTCGTTTGAAATAATATTTTATACAACAAACAATTTACACGTAGCAGGATCATTTTATTTCAAGTATTTTAATTTTTAATAGAACTAACACGGAGTTGAATTTATTTTTATTCTTTCTTAAACAATTAAATGTGTTTCCCAATTGCGTTAACAAAATCACGTACGTATCTCTAAAGTTTGCTTTTCTGTAACTCTGAAGTGGACTTTGTGCTTCCAAAATGAACTCAAAAATTACAACAACACTATTGATAAATGTAATATTCATTGTTATTAATTTGGTAAATGAGAATCAATTTTTCGTTGCATCGTTGGAAAGGTAGTGAGATAATCAAAGTCTATCTAAATAGTTATACGTATCGAGACACATATCGTTAAGTAATTGTCAGCATGAATTCGAACAGGGTCGCGGCGGCCCACTATAGTCCACTTAAGGGTTAATTGTTCAACCATTTAGATCGCACGCCATGGGTTCGAGTTGTGACCAGCCAATTACAGTCGAAAAATGGGGGTCTGTGAACGGACAGAACGTCGAAAAATATACGTTGAAAAATAAAGCGGGTCAAGAGGTAGATATCGCAACGTACGGCGCCACAATAACGTCCGTCAGAACACCGGACAAACAGGGTAACATTGCGGATATTGTCCTAGGCTTCGATGATATCGAAGGTATCGCGAACATTGTCTAAAGGTTTCATTCTATCTCTGTGCTTTGTGAATTCTTCACAAATTTGCTTACTTATTTGTCAGGGTATTTGTCGAGCAGTAATCCATACTTCGGCGCGACGGTGGGACGCGTCGCGAATCGGATTGGTAACGCGCAGTTCACTTTGAACGGAAAGGTATACCATTTAGCAAAAAATACTGGTACAGATACACTTCATGGAGGCATTAAGGGTTGGAACTCGAAAGTATGGAATGCTACTCTTGTTGAGAACAACGTGCTGGTATTGTCGCTTCTCAGCGAGGATGGAGATGAAGGATTCCCCGGTGCTACTATAGCTACGGCTAAATTTTGGCTAACAGATGATGGAGAATTACACGTTATCATGACCGTCTTCACTACCAAACCTACCCCTATTAATTTGACGAATCATAGTTATTTTAATCTGGCTGGTCATGTGCGTATGTTAACTACGTCTAGATGTAGTTGTAATTTAAGGGACTACAAACTGATACATACGCATCACTTTTCAGAAAAGTAACGCAAAGGAGCTGTACGAGCATGTAGTCGCGATAAACGCGGATCGTTGGACGGTTACAAACGAACGAAGCATACCTACGGGAGAAATACGACCGGTGGAAAATTCCATAATGGATTTGAGAAACCTGACGAAGCTTAAAGACGTGATCAACAAGGTGCCAGGCGGTGGCTACGATTACAATTTCTGTCTACCTGAGACCGACTCTGTGAACGAGAATAAGTTCGTCGCCAAGGTTTCACATCCCGCTTCTGGGAGATATTTAGAAGTTCATTCCAATCAACCTGGTGTACAATTTTACACAGCCAATTTCCTACCGGCGCAAGGTAGCACTCCTATTCATGGGAAAGATGGAGCAGAATACTTTAAGCATGGAGCACTTTGCTTGGAAACGCAGAACTACCCAGATGCTATAAATCACGTAAGTATAAAAATGCAGTATAATAAATTTTTTATGTTAATTTTGAAATTTGTTGCAGAGAAATTTTCCGAACAGTGTACTGCAGCCAGGAGAAACTTATCGTCATTTTGTTACATACAAATTTGGTGTAACAAAATGAGCAAAGAATGTAATTTTTTATAAAAACTTAAGAATATTCTGAAAATGTAATTGTTTGGTATAATATATGATCATTTGCAACGAACCTTATTGTTTGCATTGTATTTTGCCTAACGTTCCATATAAAATATAATTCACACTACTCATACAGGGAAGGAGAAAGATTGACTTCTAAAGGTCGATGTTTCTTGCTAGATGTGGCATCTGTGTCATCCAATTGCCTGTCTTCGCGTTGTTGTTTTATAGACGTGGTCGAAGGTGTATACCGATTGGAGATCAGTCCTTCTATTTGATAGCCGATAAAACCGACAATGGTAGCAACTATAGGAATTCGTCTGTACGTGCTGATTGTACTGACAGCTCTTAGAAAGAGCGGCCACATCTTCTGAAATCAAAGCACAACTGCAACATATGTTACTAATTTCCCCTACAAAGGAATTGGATAAAAGATGAACTGGTTAGGTTAGGATTTCTCTACGAATTGTTTACCGCTATTAATAAATGACTAGCCACTGAACATTTAACAGTATTTATCCAATAATACAGTTTTACATACGCTGTTTCAAGTATTTTCTCTCAAAATGGCTATTTGGATATTAGTGATACCAGTACGTCAAGCCGCATGTTCAAATCTTTCAGAATATCTCATAACGTAGAACGTACGACACTCTACGCTATACTAACACAAGCATTAAGATAAATTAAAATCAACGATGTGTACAGAGACCATTTGACTAGTCTGCTTTCACTATTACGTAGAAAAGAAATAATAGTCGATTTGGTTCTTGAAATAAATAGAAACCTAGACACTATGTGGGGATTATAAATAAAATCATATGCATGTGCTTAGCGAACCGTAGAAGAGTAAAACATTTATTTCGGGAACCCTGCATTCTGTATACGTAGTCGACAGCGGCGCCTCGTGCGAGGAATAAATGAAGCTTCGGTCGAAGTCCGTACAGCGCCAATTAGTGATGCGGTAAAGTGTTCAAATTGTTAGTCATATTACCGACAATCAAACTTCGCTCCTAGTTTGAACGTTTTGCCACTTATATTGGTGCTATACAGATCCTGGACTGAGCTCTGAGATTTCACCTCAAGGAGCGCCACTATCATTGGCAAGCGAAATTAACTTTCAGAAAACGAATGCCAGCTGCAAAGTAAGACATTCCTCTAATTTTCCTCTTTGGCTCGGTTCTGTGTGTGTGTGTGTGTTCTACTGACTACATACTTGAAAATTCACAGGTGTACTTATTTTGTATAATGCTTTTTATTATAGAGTACTATTTTTCCCAACTTATTATTTTCAAATTCAAAAATGGAACTTTGTCAATTGCGAACAGATATGACATACTTACGGGAGAAATACAACCGGTGTAAAATTCCATAATGGATTTGAGAAACCCGACGAAGCTTAAAGACGTAATTGACAAGATGCCAGGCGGTGACTATGATTACAATTTTTGTCTGCGGGAGAGTGACTCTGTGAACGAGAATAAGTTTGTCGCCAAGGTTCACTCACTGCTTCTGGGAGATATTTAGAAGTACGTTCCAATCAACCTGGTGTATAATTTTACACAACCAATTTCCTACCGGCGCAAGGTAGTACTCCTATTCATGGGAAAGATGGAGCAGAATACTTTAAACATGGAGCACTTTGCTTGGAAACGCAGAACTACCCGGATCCTATAAATCGTGTAAGTATAAAAATACAGTACAATAAATTTTTTATGTTAATTTTAAAATTTGTTGCAGAGAAATTTTCCGAATAGTGTACTGCAGCCAGGAGAAACTTATCGTCATTTTGTTACATACAAATTTGGCGTAACAAAACGAGCAAAGAATGTAATTTTTTATAAAAACTTAAGAATATTCTGAAAATGTAATTGTTTGGTATAATATATGATCATTTGCAACGAACCTTATTGTTTGCATTGTATTTTGCCTAATGTTCCATATAAAATATAATTCATACTACTCGGACAGGGAAGGAGGAAGATTGACTTCTAAAGGTCGATGTTTCTTGTTAGATATGGCATCTGTGTCATTCAATTGCCTGTCTTCGCGTTGTTGTTTTATAGACGTGGTCGAAGGGGTATACCGATTGGAAATCAGTCCTTCTATTTGATAGCCGATAAAACCGGCAATACCAGCAACTATAGTGTTGATTCTACTGAAAGCTCTTAGAAAGAGCGGCCACATCTTCTGAAATCAAAGCACAACTGCAACATATGTTACTAATTTTCCCTACAAAGAAATTGGATAAAAGATGAACTGGTTAGGTTAGGATTTCTCCATGAATTGTTTACCGCTATTAATAAATGACTAGCCACTGAACATTTAACAGTATTTATCCAATAATACAGATTTACATACGCTGTTTCAAGTATTTTCTCTCAAAATCACTATGCAGATATTAGTGATACCAGTACGTCAAGCCGCATGCTCAAAATCTTCCTGAATATCTCATGTCGTAAAACGTACGACACTCTATGCTACACTAACGCAAACATTAGGATAAATTAAAATCAACGATGTGTACAGAGACCATTTGACTAGTCTGCTTTCACTATTACGTAGAAAAGAAATAATAGTCGATTTGGTTCTTGAAATAAATAGAAACCTAGACACTATGTGGGGATTATAAATAAAATCATATGCATATGCTTAGCGAACCGTAGAAGAGTAAAAGATTTATTTCGGGAACCCTGCATTCTGTATATGTAGTCGACAGCGGCGCCTCGTGCGAGGAATAAATGAAGCTTCATTCGAGGTCCATACAGCGCAAATTAATGCTGCGGCAAAGTATTCAAATTGTTAGCCACATTACCGACATTCAATCTTCGCTCCTAGATTGAACGCTTTGCCACTTATAAGTGGCGTAACGGCGAAACGGCATTTTGCGCGGCAGGACGAGTGGCGACTGAGAGGCGACAGCCGGTGTTTATATTAGATTTCGTTATCTCGAACATTGTTCAACGTACTGTTTTATGAGAAAGTCCCTGAATTGGTGGCGCAAATTATTTTTCTTGGGACTGGAAATTTGTTTAATCAATTCGTACATTCTCTACAGACATGTAAAAAGGCAGAGAAACGAACAGCCAGTTACACATTTGAACTTTCACAAAATTGTGATCAACAAATTGAGAGGAGATTTTTGTCAACCACGAGATAGATTTTCAAGTTCGACGTCCAAGTCTGACGAATTCATCTAAACGGGAAACTGCATGTAATTGTTACTGACACAATGAAAGATTGCAAAGTTTGTTTCAGTCGAAAGAAACCAGGGGGAAGACATGAGACGACCTATTTCTGTGATACATGTTCAGATAAACCAAGAATGCATCTTGGTTAATGTTTTATAAATTATCACACCAAACGAAACTACAGATCATAATTTTTGTAAAATTATATTCATAAAAGTGTGAATATAGATAAACTAACGAAATATAACGTTTTTGTAAGATCATTTTATTGTACTATATAAGACATTCGACATATATATTTGCAAAAATCGCCTCGTCCTGCTACCTAACTCGATCGAAAAAGTTGTCGTCTGCTAAGGGTTAAGATACTCATTCACCACACTGAACAATGATTAACAAAAAAGGTAACTGCGCACACTATGTATATCAATTTGTTCGGCACACAATGTACACATTAAAGACATCTTTAACCTTCTAGGCACGACGCGCCACTATAGTGGCTTTCGCGGATGTCATCTTTCAGAACGACACGCCACTGTAGTGGCTTTCGCGGATGTCATCTCTCTGGATGACGCGCCACTATAGCGGCTTGCTCTAGTAGCTCACTCGCTCATCGTTTGAACCAAATAATCGTCTTCATATGCATTGTTTCACACTTTTTTTGTCTTCACATCGATTTTCAACAGTCTACAGGGTGTCCCAAAAATGTCTCGCAATCCGGAAATGAGAAGTTTCTGGGATCATTTGAAGTAACTTTTTCCTTAGCGAAAATGCAACTCGTGGCTTTGTTTACGAATTATTAACGAAAAACACTGACCAATGAGAGGCGAGCTCGCCTAGCGCTAGGTGGCCGAGCTAATCGGCGGAACTGGGATTCGACCGCTGGCGCCGTTGGCTCGGCCGCCTCGCGTTAGCTGAGCTGGGATTCGACCACCTCGACCGCTGGCGCCGTTGGCTCGGCCGCCTCGCGTTAGCTGAGCTGGGATTCGACCACCTCGACCGCTGGCGCCGTTGGCTCGGCCGCCTCGCGTTAGCTGAGCTGGGATTCGACCACCTCGACCGCTGGCGCCGTTGGCTCGGCCGCCTCGCGTTAGCTGAGCTGGGATTCGACCACCTCGACCGCTGGCGCCGTTGGCTCGGCCGTCTCGCGCCAGCTGAGCTGTGATTCGACTGCTCGACCGCTGGCGCCGTTGGCTCACGCGAGCTAGCTGGCGCAAGGCGACCGAGCCAACGGGCAGTCGAAACCCAGTTTCGCTCATTGGCTCGGCCGCCTTGCGCCAGCATATCTCATCTCTCATTGGTCACTGTTTTTCGTTAATAACTCGTTAACGGTGCCTCGGAGAAAATTTTTCTAAAGGAAAAAGTTGCTTCAAATGGCCTGAGGAACCCGCCACTTTCGGATTGCGTGACATTTTTGGCATACCCTGTATATACTATACAGTATCAGACTCTATACAGTACACATCAGACTCTGCCGTCCAGAGAAATAGCCTCGCGCAGAATTCAGCCATACCTAAAAGGTTAATGTTTGGAAATTACAATCATAAATATAAATAATAAGTAATAAATTGATAAGTTTAATGTCAATAGATTGATTGAAAATTGTTTATAATCGTATAACATATTCGTTTTTACGTATAATATATGCTTTTTGTAATACGTACCTTGATTCTTCACTAATATACACCCATAAAACAGATAATATTTAAGTATGATTATTACAATGTACAAGGTTGCGACGAATGAAAACTATCCAAATATAAATAGGCAACGCGGTATTCGACTTTACATCAGTGCACACAAATACGTGTTCCAGTCTGGAGTAACAAGAAGTAACACGCAATCATGAATCTGCAAAATTTGCACTTGCTATAGTAGCTACTCAAATTTTAAATTCATTATTCAAATAAATTCTCGCGGAGTATATTATACCCTGCACATGTTAACTTTTCACGGAGCTTCTAAAAAGAAATTGCACCTAAAAAATCGTATAGAAAAGTTTATTTATCCATTATTTAAAACAGAGCTATAAATTAGAAATAAAACTACGTAGTCTAGGTAGTATCGACGAAATACTCTAAGCATATGCACAGCAGACAACCGATCGTTATAATCATAACAACTGGCAGTCAATGAGTTACATTATTCACATATTTTTGGCTTTTGACCATTATTACAATTTTTACATACTTCTTATAACAGTTCCACAGTTGGCTTTTCACCATAATTTCCCATTACTGATCTCTACCTGTATCGTCGCCTTTATTAATTGTACTGGACTAGTTGCACGGCATGACTGCAACTATCAAGGCACTTTTCACTTTTCGCTTCCTTCGCTATGAATCTTCACGAAATCTACAACCACTCTTCAATAATCCTTTAATACCAAGAACTGTTTTAATTCGAAGATTCTCCATCAATGGCCCGACGTTATCAATCAGTAGCCACCTCCTACTATGTCACCGACCGACTGTATAACTGCGAATCGTGCAAATGAGTCCCACCTTGAATCCTCCATTTCCCCAAGATTAAGGTCAAGGTTATGTCAAGGTAATGTCACGGTTATGTCAAGGTTATGTCAAAGTTATGTCAAGGTTATGTCAAGGTTATGTCAAGGTAAGGTTATGTCAAGGTTATGTCAAGGTTATTTTAAGGTTATGTCATATGATCATTTGCAACGAACCTTATTATTTGCATTGTATTTTGTCAAGGTTATGTTAAGGTTATTTCAAGTTTATGTCAAGGTTATGTCAAGGTTATGTCAAGGTTATGTCATATGATCATTTGCAATGAACCTTATTATTTGCATTGTGTTTTGCCTAATGTTCCATATAAAATATAATTCACACTACTTGGACAGGGAAGGAGGAAGTTTGACTTCTAAAGGTCGATGTTTCTTGTTAGATATGGCATCTGTGTCATCCAATTGCCTGTCTTCGCGTTGTTGTTTCATAGACGTGGTCGAAGGTGTATACCGATTGGAGATCAGTCACTGAAGATCAGTCACTGGAGATCACTGTATAACTGCGAACCGCGCAAATGAGTCCCACCTTGAATCCTCCATTTCCCCAAGGTTAAACGGACAATATTTGTCGTGCACAAAAATCCTTAGACACGCGTATGCATCCACAGAGTTCGAAGGATTCGTCACGAAACGTCCAATCGCTTTAACCAAGACACCCTCAATGTTCAACTCCTCAGGTGCCTTGCGGCGTGGAGATCTTGCTCGAATGCGAATGAGTAGGTTTGGGTCCGATGGTCGGCGTTTTGCTCGACACTGGGCACAAGACCTGCTTGTAGGCCTCTCTGTACAATTTGTTAGTCCCTGCATAGATGAAAGGGTTGATCACAGAAGAGGCCCAGGCCAGGATCGACGCGATTACGTGTATGACCGGCACTTTGATGTCGTCGTCGACCACGTTGACGAACATCAACGGCATGAAGCAGAGGATGAAACAGAGGAATATGGTCAGCATCAGTTTGGTCACTCTGGAGTCCTCTCTTCGCTGGATCCCGTTCGTTTTTCTTCGGGAGACGCCACTGTGGGCTTCTAGGTTCTTCCTGCTCTTTCTCACGCGCCAATAGATGCACAGGTAAGACACGCTAATTACTATACAGGGCACGATGAACGCTAGGACGAAGAGGAACTTTTTCGGGCTGCGACCGTCCTTCTTCAGGATCGTGCAGGAGAAGGTGGTCGTGTCCAGACCCATCTGCCCCCAGATGCCTAACAACGGTGGCAGCAGCAGGGAGAAACTTACGGTCCAGATGGCGATCAGCATTATTATTATCCGTTTCGTGGTGTAGAGTTGCGCGTACATCTCCGACCTCGATATCAGTATGTACCTGAAACACGAGGGTGTTTTAGTTTCTGGAACACTTCGATGTCCTGCTTTCAGCTTACTGCCGATTAGCAATCCGAAAGGATTGTGCTCGGCAGTCTTTCCCAACAAATATTCCTGGATTTAATATTATATAGTATATATATATATATATATATATATATATATATATATAATATAAATATAAATAAAATAATATAAATTTTTAATAAATAAATAATATAAATTTTTTTTTTTAAACGATAGAGCGACCAGTCTGTTATACCATAATTAGAGTGCTTTTTTTAAATTTTGCAGTTGCTTAGAATGATAAAGGAAAATAAAAAACTCTTTAACTTTTTTTTATCTGAGCCTACAGCGAAAATTCAAAAAATGTGTTTTGTAGATCTCGGTAAGTCACATGCACGTTAAAACAATTAAAGATTAGCACGCATCGAGCTGGTTTCTGCGCCAGCTCCTTTAGCTACTAATAAAACAATTAAATGACGAAAAACGAAAAATCCTGAAACACGTATCCCCTATTCTAACACGAGTCTAACCAGTTATGTTTATATTTAGCCCGACTGACGCACCAGGTCATTTTCAGTCATTTTTGTTCCGATATTTTTTTTACCACGTCTCTCAGACGTGGGTTTTAGTGGCCCGTTTATCGTACAGCTTTCACGTATTTGTTTGTTACGAGAACCGAAAGAAATACTTTCTACAGTTTCAACAAAATGTTTCTTTCCCGGATTATATCCTAACTGAACAAAAAACTGGCGAACCTGTCGACGAAAGATTTTATTTAATAGAAGAATAAAGATTTTTTTTTCACGTGAAAACATTTCTTTTTTTAATTAAGCGCATCGAACGAGAAATTTTGTTTCTATAAATTACTGTTGTTTTATTACAAATCAATATTTCCAAAATCCATCGTTTAACCCTTTGCACTCGAGTGGCGAGTCCGAGGCGCCACTAAAAATGTAAAAGAAGCTATTAAAATTGCATTGTACTTGTCAATAGGCTCAATTTCATATGCATGAATCGCAAGAAATTATATAAAATAGAAATACTGTAGATCAGAAATCATGTTTTCGATTTCGAATTCAAATAGCTTCGACTGCGAAGGGTTAAATGATAAATTAACAGAATCGTCGTAAACTTTTTATTCGAACATTTCGGACGATTCCAAAATTCTTCGAATAATATTTCTGAATTTGTTGCTTCGCTTTAAACGCACTGCATAATTCGTTGATACAATTTGCCGTCGATGAACTCGCGCGCACCATCGGTTACACCTGATACAACATCTATTTGATACTATTGGGATGAGCAACAGGCGATTAAGTTCCCCGCAGAGTAACGCCGAGTTCGCGTATTATTTCGATCCAGCGTATTAGTTTCAGTCAGCGTATTTAATAGTATACTTAAATAAGATAAGATATCGAGGAATATCGTAAGATCGCTTTTTGATTTATTCAATAGGCTTTGGCCACGAACCTGTTGATCGTGATGGCAACCATGCTCAGCAACGAAACCGCGACATTTCCGTAGAAGAGCAGCGGAAATATTTTGCACAGCGTTTCACCGAGGACCCAAGCTTCGCGCAGAAAACGGCTCGCAGTCAGCGGCAGATTGAAAACCGAGAAAATCAGGTCGGAGATACTGAGACTGATCACGAAGGCTGTCGTCGCGTGCCGTCTCAGCCGCGTGTACTTCAGTAGCGCGATCACTGTCACCAAGTTACCTGCAATTTGCACAAAACATGAAATAGTCGTTTTTCATTCACAGGCGAAACTAACAAGTTCGCATTATTAAAAAGGAAAAGAACTGCGCGTCTTGAGACGTACGAACAAATTTGCAAAATCGGGGAACGGAAAACGAGCGAATTTTTATTCCGAACGAAATGTTTATTCCTACGAAATGTATCTGTTTTCAAGAACCAATAGCACGTTTTAGTATATTGTATAGTGAGCAAAGAGTCGTTAGAGTCCTCGAGGGAGGATACAAATGCGGCTAAGTGGATAATTAAAAAAGGAGGCATTAATAATCCGAATTCTTGACACTCGGTGGCGCGAGTTAAGGGTGTTAATAGCCGTAACTCGCGAAGAAATAGCCGTGGGTCAGCAGAAGTTCGTTTGACCGCAGAATTGGAACGATTAATTAAGGAATCAACCATCGCGGACGGACAAGTGTACTCTAATTTCTTGATAGACTGAATTATGAATAATATAGCCTATTGTTAGGGAAACCAGAGGCCGGAGCCCGTCTCGACAATCCGCCTCGGCGCGAAGTACATATATCGTCTTTCGAAGCACGGTATAATCGGTATTGCAATAATCTCCGTTTGAACTCTTTACAGTCGATGTTACCTCGACGCCAAAATTAAATGTTCCATGAAATAGAATTTCATCCGACCCAGAAAATTGTATAAACGGTTACGGCAAAACGGGACCATTTGCTCCTGACGCGTTGAAATTTTCAACAGTGTTACAAATACAAACTTGATTGAATTAAATATTGCTTCGTGTTATGGTACGACGATTTCTAGCGGCGTCGCGGCGTTCGCGTGCGAAGAGTCGACGTGCGTGGATGAATCGTAACGAAATCTTACCCGCGATTCCAACGACGCTGAAAATGATCGCGCACACGGCTGCTAGGATGGTGACCCATCGAGGAAAATGCTTCACACTCTCGCCACCCAATGCCACTCCGATAATCGTGCCGTTCGTCACCGATCCGTCCATGTTTTTTTTTTCTTTTTTCGATAATGTTCACGCACTCTTTCGTCGCGGCTGGTTTCCAGTACGTGAAATGCAAAACGGGACGAGCACGCTTCCGTGAAAAGAAGACGTCATTAAGGAACACCTGCGCTTAAGATCAACACAGCTTATTTACTACCTTTTCTGATTGTTACATAAAACGTTCCAGCCTCTGATCTTGCGATCTTTATTTATGAACGCTTCGAGGAAAATAAACATCACGCTGCATGAAATTCAGAAATATGTACATACATACTCCAAATGCAATAATTTTCAAGTCGAACGCGTCGATGATTCGTCGTGTGAGTTAAATGCGACTTACAATTATTAACCAAAGGCGACAACAACGAAATCGTAACGCGTTTCTTCGCAGAAGAGATCTAATTATGAGTTACAATTTACAAGTTACAAATTAATTGAAATTATTCCGAGATTGACAGCAATCGTGGCACTGCGCCTTGACTTTCATTTCTAACGAGGCAAATAGATCGTGCAATAAATTACACGGCTCCATATAATGTCACTTACGTCGTCGTTATTCCGATCTCTATCATTGTGTAAATCCTGCAAATCGATTATTCGCGTACGATTTTTCTTTTTCGTATCGAAATTTTTAATGAATTCGATCCTCTTGTTCTTCTTGATGGTTCTTCGTGGTTCCTCGATCGATTATCAATATCTAAACACAGAAACAGACGAGAATCAAAGATACTGATATCCACATCCTTGAGTTCATATTTTGTAGTACAAAAAGAAAAAGAGAGAGAGAGAGAGAGAGAGAGAGAGATAGAGAGAGAAAGAAAGATGAGATAAAATCACGAGAAAAACATGAGAAACTGTTGAGCTGTTTCTTTAACAGATAATCCATTCATCCGTCCGTCCCAATTAAAAATTATCGTCACACGTATTTTATTCGAAGAAAGCTATACATTTTCACTCGACTTCTGTTTCTCACAAAATTTTGCACAAAGATCCGCAGCTTACGGATCACTATTTAAAAACAAACACTGCTTTCTAGGAAACCAAGACGAGAATTTCCACGTTCTAATTAACACTAAATCTGGCCGAGTGTTAAAAACGGCAAACAAGACATTTTACAAAACTACCAACGATTTTGATTTCGTTATCAATTCGATCACCGTACGAAATTCAGTGTTAACACTTTGACGGCAGATGACACACACATACACGCGCACGCGTCACCCGAATTTCCAACTTTGGTCTCGATAAGTTGCGCTCAAGTTCTGCGGGAATGAATGCCGCGAGACGTTCCACGAATCGGGAAATTTGTGCGGAACGTTTGTAATTTTCGAGGTGCCCCGACGCCGACGTGTTAATTAAATTGCGGCCGCGACCACGTGTGTTCCAGTGATCGCAGAAATTGCAGTAATGCGACTAGTTTCGCGCAGCGAGCGACGGGGGAACCATTATTGGCGAGCGAACCGTTCTCGATTTACATGCGTTCGTCTGTCGGACGATCTCCGGCAATGTCTGGAACGATTAAATACACGAGGGTTCCTTATCCAGCGAGCCACTTGAATTCATTCTCTCTCGGCTTCTTCTTTTTGCCCGTTCGTTAGCGGCTGCACGCTTTATCCGCGTCCTCCTCTGATTTTCTTGCGACGCCGACGATCCCGCGACATCGAAAAAACCGAAGAGTTTCTCTCCACTCCTCTTTCTCTGTTTCTCTTTTTCTCTCTCTCTCTCGCACACGCAGAGATCCGTGTCTCTTCCCTAAGAACCCTTTCGCGGTTGAAAAAAAGCTATCAATGAGCTTTGAACTTGTTGCGACATCCTCGTCAACTACACACCAGGAAATCACGATCTTCGACCTTGTCTCGTCGACACCGAAAGCTCGCTGTTGCAAATTCGTTCGAAATGCAAACGAGGATTTGTTCGTTTAACCTTTCACTCCATTCGAGAGACCTGTCCCGAGCTTTCACCGATAAGAGAATTATCGGGAACTCGGCGACCTTTGACCTCGTTTCATTGAAATTAATTGATTCTCCGGTGGTCCCGAAACGCACTAATTACGATCTTCGCGTATATTAGATTTAGCTCGGGTTACATAGTTGTCAGTTAATCGCACCGTTTACCGACCGTTCGTTATTCGATTTCCGATCGATCCGAGATCTCATTCTTCCCGCGATTATTCTTTATGGAAACTTACTCGTTCGCTCGGTTATTCGCGAACGAAAAGAAAGCGTAGCACAGTCCCCTGACCAACCAGAGTGCACTAATTAATCACCGAGATTGTACGCGATACCCTGGAAAAACGTCTCCATTTATCATCGGCTCGTTCCAGTTCCTTGCAACATCGAAGTTGCAATTACGGTTCGCGGATACTTTCGTTCACCGTCCTACGATACTCTTCTGTCACCAGAAAAAGAAAAGAAAAAAGAAAAGAAAAAACAGCAACCACTTCACCTTCGTTGCCATCAACGGCACGATAAACCATCATGAACAAACGCAAGAAGTTACCTCCTCAATTTCTCCAATTTATCGGAAAATTCTTGCCCCGCGAGCACTTCGGAAACATCGTCTTCATTCTTCTCGATCCTAGGTGCTCGTCGATTCGATTCCACTGTTTAACCGATGTTCTCAGTGTCCGTAATAATCGCGAATTTCGAATGAAATTTGATCGGATGTTCTCGGTAAACACGACGTTGAGAATGCTTGCCGGGGGAGCTCGGGTGTTCTCGATCCCCTTTGTTTTTAATTTTTGTTCGACGACACGCGGGAGAAGCGGCTTCGTCTAGCTAGCGCAACGAGCGCTCCTCAGGGACTGACGGGACTCTCTCGGTGTCGATCTTTAGCTCCCCTTTTACAACGGGAGTACACGAAGCCTTCTTATCTGCCTCTTCTTGATTTAACTCTCCCGCTTCCTCTCCCGCTGCCTTTTTCCCAGCTCTTTCATATTCCGCCGCCGGGCCGGTAGCCGGGTTCGCTCAAGCACCACTGGCCACCGAGGAATCCTAATTAATTAATCTTATTGAGGACCATTGTTAGGACGAGGCCTCGAGCCTTAATCGGCCGAAACGATACTTCTGTCAGCCGGGGCCCGGCTCGGTGAGAATTTCCGCAACCTTTTCACGCTACCCCACGACGATTTATTGCGGATTCATCGCGGATTCATCGTGGTTATCCACATTTCCAGGATCTCGTATCGAAAACGGATGAAACAACGTTGCCCGTGCAATCTTGGTTTGGATATCGCGTTCTGAAACGTTGCTTCGCGGTGACGAGAAGATAATCCATTTACGCGCAATAGAATTAGTACGCGACAGAATTTATGCGCGAATTAACTTTGGTTTAGGAACTGGATGGGAATACAGCAAATTCTAATTTTCTTTCAGCTTTTAAACAAAAAATGGACCATATAGGAAGAGGAGATACGATTATTCGAGCCCTTGCACCTCGGTTTTATAGTTGTTGACAATCGGTAACTATAAAAACGAGGTGCAACGACAGTTATCCTGTCTCTTATACACATCTAGATGTGTATAAGAGACAGGTTTTATAGTTGTTGACAATCGGTAACTATAAAAACGAGGTGCAACGACAGTTATCCTACAAATACAATAGATTCTCCATAATTTTCTTTCAGCTTGTAAACAAAAATAGACTCTTTGGGAAGAGGAGATACGATTATTCGAGTCGTTGCACCGCGTTTTTATAGTTGTTGACAATCGGTAACTATAAAAACGAGGTGCAACGACTCGAATAATCGTATCTCCTCTTCCCAAAGGGTCTATTTTTGTTTACAAGCTAAAAGAAAATTATGGAGAATTTATTGTATTTGTAGGATGACTTTTTAACAATTTCGCTAGAGGAAGCCTGTGCGTTGGATTTTTGGTGGCTGTGTTATGTCCGAAAGATAATTTAATTATTTTCTTTCGGGTAATTGGATTGAACAATTCTGATAGCTTATCAGATACATCGAAGCCAACATTTTGGTTTGCGGACGAAATTACTGTAATCGTTAAACAACTTATTTAGAAATCCATCGCTGTTCGATGTTTAGAGAAATATTGAAGAATATTACAGAGAATTGGTAAATTATATCGTGTTCGAGAACTTGTTGAGTCTCTTCACAGGTTTACAGGTACTAGACACTTTCCTTAATTAAAAACTAGAACAAAGGAACACTTAGTTCTTCAATTCAAACTGTTTTTCAATCCTCAGTCGCTGCTCGTTGTCGCAGTTCAATAAATAAAGGGACTCGGACCTCTTTGAAAATGAAAAGAGCTGTGAGTTAAGACAAGATTAAAATTGACGACGATCCAAAGTAAAAATGAATGTGTCAAATTCGAAATTGACGAATAATTTAGAAATTGCATTCCAAAGAATTTAATTACGTAAACCAGACGAGAACTTTTATAAAATGTTTCCGCAAGTTTCTTTTCGGGATAACAAATATTTCCTGCTTTCTAAAACAAAGTAATCCTTAAATGCAAATGATCTTTCAATCCTCGTCAATCCCTCAACGTCCCAATTTTTGATCAATAATTTCTAAATCCCTCGAAAATAAAAATCTCTAGCGAATCCGTGTATGAAACACACTATTTTTCGAATCCGCTGTGAAATATCCAAAAAATTGACAGAAGGGATGCACGAGGATTCTTAATCCTCGAACATCGATAATTAACTACATTGCTATGGTTGCAATTGCAATTGCATTACGCTTACAATGAACGGTATCAAAGTCGAATCTGCACCCTTCGGAAGTCACCCCCTTGTTTCTCCAACTTTTCCATCACTTCTCTCTGCTCCAGAAACAACGATACAATTGTCCGAGTAGAATTATTAATTTCTCGCGTGTCCGTTAATTTTGATTTGGAGCTACGGCCGAAAATGCACTCCGGATCTGCACAATGCACCCTGCGATTCCTCAGGTATGGCCTTCCCCGTGTCACGCGCACCATCGACTGCCGGCTGTTCCTCGGAGTGTGGCCGTAGCGATGCTGGAAATGGTCGACGGCCCGGTGGTCGAAACACCATCGGCACGTGCTCGAATTAATACCGTCGACAGGGTGCGAAAGGGGATGAGAACCGACACGAAGAGCGCCGCGTTCCCGAGCGTATCGTTTCCCGGCGATCCATTAATTCTTGTATTAGCCGGCCAATCGAACTGTTACAGAAATATCGATTAATAATTAACGGGGCTGCAGCACGTGAATTTAGCAGGCACGTTCCCCTTTCGTTGACAGGAAATTATTTGCAGCGGCGAACACCTTCCGATCGCGCATCGCTCATACTTATAAAAATTCGCATTTCCGTGGAAAACGTGCGGACGTACACTTACGAACAAATTGAATAATGTATATTTCATACGCCTGTTTCTAGTTTCTATTTATTTCTATTATTTTACTATTTTATTTTACTTCGTTATCCAGCGAATTGTCTTCGCCAATATTTAAGTTTTTTCTTTTCTAATTATTTAATAGAAGCGGAAATAGAATAGAAAGAGTTCTTGAATGTATTTTTATTCAAAACGGAATGACGTATTTATGAAAACTAACTAGCAAGTTTCAATTTCATTACTTTGAGCAAATTCTGTGGTGAAATTCATTTACGATCTAACTAATTCTATCGGTGTACTATATTTTTAAAGATTATTTATTAAGGGTGAAAGTAGGAAGGTAACATTTTTTGAAAGAATTTAATTCATGTGTATTTATTAAAACCAATTACAATTATCATTTTGTTACCTTCTTGAGCAAATTGTATTCGCCATGTAATTAATTCTACTCTGTGGCGAACAAGTGGCGTTAAGTGTACAATATCACTGCTTTTTTAAAATAATTTCCTAAATGTAGGAGCAACAAAAAAATATCTTTTAACAGCACTTTTAAAAATACATTAATATTTGCTGTCTAATTAAAGTTCTCTTGATATTTTATTTTCTAATAAATAACATTGAAAGTATGCAACGTTTTTTTTTATTGTTGATTAAATTCGTAGAGTCCCTACTAATATTCTAATTGTTCGACGTCCTTCCACGAAGTCGCGAAGCATGCGGCTGCACATTAAAATGAGTTCCGCCGCCGACTGTAAATTTCATTATAGCAAGACTTTTTCATAAATAATCCTGAATGCAAGTCAACCCCCCGTCGATGGTTAATTGTAAGAATGGCCATAGCGAGAGAGAGAACTTGCGACCGCGTAGGCCAGCTGCCGGCAGCCCCGGCACAAAGCCGGGTCCAAACAATCGAAAGGAGCGGTCCAACAAACAGAACTCACCCCCCGCGGTCCCCTTTTCATCCCTGCGATATGTTTCACCTGGCTTCGAACCCTGCGATTAAACGTAATCTCGAGGAATGAGCGTCCCTGCAGCAATTCGCAGAAAACCATAGACGCGTTTCTCGTTTTATCCGAGGATTGGAATTATTATTCAAATACTTGGAACGCATCACGAGCTCACAAAGAAATCCTCCAAAGAAATTTCAAGTTAATCATTCGTAAGTCGCCGAGAGAAAAAAGGCCGAGACGATCGAGGCTTTCGAATCTTACGTTAAATTTTAATCGTCTCAATGTTTTTAGAGATTATAAGAGAGAAGATTACAATACAATTTCAGTGTTTGTATATATTATTGTAGATATATATATATATATATTATATTATTATATTATTATTATTATTATTATTATATATTATATTATTAAATATATATTATATATACATTATATATATATATATATATATATATATATATATATATATATATATATTATAGAGTACAAATAAAATATTATATATAATATATCTTAATAATAAAATATCTGTATTGAATGTTTCGAGAACAAAACGTTCCTCGAATTGTGAATAACAATCGGACTCGTTATTTATTTTATTTCAGCATCCAATGAATGGAGGAATGAATTAACGCGATGTGCAATATACCTTTGTGCATCGCTTTTTATACGATAGAATTAATATACAGATATTTTTCGAACTTAAAAACAAAACGATGCATTATATTTATTTAAATTGATTAAACTTCCTACTTTGAAATTCTCTTATAAATAGGCTTCCGAGCTCTCTCATTATATTGTGTTCCGAAGATGGACAATCATTATCTCGAATTCATCTTTCTCGTTTCTTTTTCCTTTCCTTCCCGTCACGGTTGAACTGTTCACTGTGTTTCCCGAACGTGGCAGAGGATCGTCATGGAAATGTCTAACGAAATCCACGAATGGCCCGAAAAGTGTCCAACAACGGGCTGTTTTGCATAACCAACCCCGTTTCCGGACCGGTTCGTGTAACCTGCTCGTGGAAAAAGAGGAATGCACCGTGAGAAGAAGAGCATTCTAACCACGGTTTCCAGAACAACGAGAGGCTGAACATTTCCTGGGACGGAAAGATC